CTGCAGGCCTTCCAGAGGCGCTCCATGCTGCACCTGCCAGACGGCGGGCTGAGTGAAGACCGCAGCACCACCGCGGCCAACGGGATCAACCGCCGCGCTGCAACACTTTACAACCAGTTCACCCCCAAGAGCGAGGAGAATAGGTGGGTCGTGAACTTCTCAAGTCCCTGGAACAAATAAGAAGTTCACATTTGATTCACTTAAACCGGCTGCAGAGCAGCTCGGTCCAGTTTTGGAAGATGAGTCAGCGCTGCGGTATGCTGTGTGTCATGTTTGTGAGGATTGTCTGTACTCTGTTAAACTCTGGGTGTGTAATTTTACAATTACTGGGAGGTTAAAGTACAGTCTCTTGGCTCTAATATCTGGATCTTTTCTACTGAGTTGGGACACAGAATTATTTAAAAACCAACATCATGTGAATTTGTTTTTTCTTTCTCTTCATGTTTCACTTTCCAGATAATGTTTAGACAGACAAAAGTTTTATCAGAAACCGTTAATATGCAGCAAGTATTTTGAAACTTGCAAGTTGTCTCTGTATTTCATCATATCTGTATAACATATTATCCATAAATCACATAATCATAAATTATTCCAGATGTTTGCCAGCTTCATGCCTTTACTCTCCTGTACTTCAGCCATATTATTGATACTGATAACTCTAGCTCTATTTTTGTCTTTGTGGACATAGAAAGCGTCTTGACATGTTATTGATGAATTGAGTCTAATTGTTTAAATGCGGTGTTTTAGACGTAAATCTGTTCCAAAGCTTTTTGGTCTTTACTATCACTACAACTACCCGGTTTTGGCCTCTTTACACATGTGGGAACACAATGTTCAAACAGTGCTGTAGTTGTCAGTCAGGCCTTGTGTCCAGTGTCCTTCTGCCTTCTGTGCAACAAATGTTGGGAGAAGCTCCACCTAACTTTGATCATGACCAGGAATAGAGACATCATCATTATTATTATTTTTCAGGTCTTATGAGGGGATCCTCTATAAACGTGGAGCGCTGCTGAAAGGCTGGAAACCTCGCTGGTTTGTATTGGACATTACAAAACACCAGGTGAGTGGTTGCAGCATATTGATGTTTAAGAAACACCAAACCGTCACCTGAGTGACAGGCTGCAGGTTAACGTTCACGTCTTCACAGCTGAGGTACTACGACACCGGAGAGGACACAAACTGCAGAGGCCACATCGATCTGGCAGAGGTGGAGTCCGTGGTGATCGCCGCCCCGACTATCGGTGCTCCCAAACATATCAGCGAAAAGGCTTTCTTCGACGTGAGTACATGAGAGTGATGTTTCACAAATGACTGTTGTTCCTACAGGGCTCTTGCATGCTCACGTACGGGTTGAAATTGCAGAATTAGTTTTGATTAGTCAAATCTGTCAAAGTGAGTGAGGGGAAATGATCTCATGGTAGCTTTTATCTTGCAAATTTGCCCAGAAGCATCTGTTCCTCTGCTGCCACATGTCATCTGAAATTTTTGATTGTTGTTTATTAGCAGAAGAAGAATCCCAGCTTCCTAAACAAACAAGAAAAAATAGTTTTGCTGTGCGGACGTAAAGACAAAGGCATCTTTAACTATTTACCTCATGTCAATTTATTATAAAAATCATCACTAAAAAAAAAGACCTGATGCTTTAAAGATATTGAAGCAGAGAAAAGAGCCTGAATGTGATGCAGCTATTACACGTTAGAGACAAACCTTTCTGTCAGTGTGGTCTGTTGTTTTATTCTGTTCCATCCCTTTGGCTCACATTTAACCTTCGTTGTCTGACTCTTATCTAGCTGAAGACCAACAAGCGGGTCTACAACTTCTGCGCCTCAGACGCACCCAGCGCTCAGCTGTGGATGGACAAGATCCAGAACTGCATCTCTGACGCCTGAGCTGCGAAACTCGGAGACTGAACACTGAGATATTAGCACCTCGAACGTTAGAGGCGGCTGAGAGCAGAGACGTCACAGGCGCTCGACTCAGCTTTCAGATGTCTTAAAATTCGGGGGACCACAGTGAAAGTGCCTGTATACTGTCCATCCACCTCTGCCTGATTCTTAGCAGCTGGTCAGGCTGTCATCACTCTGTTTCGGCTGGAGTCACACGCACTCGTTTCCGCGTTCAGCTCCCTCCTCTGTGCCTCCTACAGGGATGAAGTAAAGATAAGCTGATGTTTTAGGGGACTGCACTACCAAGGAAATGTTATCCTATTTAAGCTGTAAATAGATCAAAGCAATATCACTGGCCATTCAAACTGTGGGTTCAGTTTTAGACTTCAAACAGAAAATATCCTATAAAAATTTCTATCACATATTTTACTACGAGGAAAGGTTATTGCTGCTTAAAGAAACGTATGAACCGCCAAAAACTCAGAGATTTTGATGCACAACACGACAAAGCAATTTGTTTGCACTTAGCTCAAACGTATGCACTCCTTATCAAATATAGATTTTCTAAAAGAGGCAGACAGTCGAGGCTAAAGGCATTACTTTGCAATGTACATACGACGTTTCTTCAAGACAGATTAAATGAAAAGAATTTGCACAGTGAGTTCAAGCCTGACATTTTTTTTTCTATTTAAATAAGTGACGTTTGCTCTATTTTGTTAAATGTTTATTGACTTCTGGATAACACATTTGTCTCATGTAATGTAAATTATTATTTTTTATTAAAAGTGTAACTGTGTAAGTGTGGTGGCTTCATGTTTTCCTGTAAATACCTGTGACATTTAATTTTATATACTGTATGTACTGAACATGAATATACTTTTCTAACCTTAAATCTAATGTGACCAACAAGTCTTTTTTTTTTTTTTTTTTTTTTTTTTTTTTTTTTTTTAAATGTGTCGTTTACTGGTGCAAAACCTGAGTGGCCTGTTCTGTTTGTGATGAAACATTGTTCTGAAAGTGAAATGGAGTCTCTTTTTTTAGTTGCCCAGGCAAGCCTTGTGTCTTTGAAGGGCTTTTTAAGAAGTAAAATATATCATGTAGGTCAATGTGGTTTTCAGAGATCCTTGTCTCACCTGTTCTGTTTGTGCAGCATACAGTTTCATTAAAAAAGAAAGAAAAACACAAATGAAACTATTGAAAGATGTCAGAGGCTGTATCTTACGTTACTGTATCTTTGTACCATGTTTTGTGGTGACACTAATTTTTTGGAAATAAATCAAACATACTTGAAACTACCTGTTGCTTGTTTTCTTGTGCTGCTTATACAGGTGAGATTGGATCAAATAGATAAAAACTGGACAAATGTATCTAAACGTGTACTGAATGCATTTGAATATGTTAACTATATATATATAAACATATATAAACATTTTATTTAAACAGGAAAAGTCTCATTGAGACACAGTCTCTTTCACAAGGGAGTCCTGTATAGCACAAGCACAATTTTTCAACCATGACTTGAAAAACAATGCATTTTCAAATACAATACAAATTTACACAAAATGTACAAAATATTTACATTGACAAAAATGCAATGAGTTAATATGTAAACAAACGAAATTAAAAAGACTAAATGTAGAGATCTAACTAGCGTTAATTAAAAACAAGTGCATATGTCCGTTAGAATGTCTGATATTCTTTAAAAGCAGCTAAAGAAATTGGCGCGCCAATCTTAAGCGTAGACTGGAGTTCATTCCAGGACAATGGGACATAGTAAGAAAGACTCCTCTTTGTAGCTCAAGAGGTAAAAAAAAAAAAAAAAAGTATCGTTTAACAAGTAAACAGGATTTTAATGTTGTAGCTGGCTGAAGTTACTGTAAAAACTTTATAATGTTAATTATGATTATCTGTAGTGATGTATCATATTTTAAGAACTGGCAGGACAAATCTACAGCTGTCAGATAAATATAATGGAATAAAAAGTGCAATATTTCCCTCTCAGATGCAGTGGACTTGAAGTGTAAGGCTGCATCAAAAGTAAATACTACAAGTACTGTATTTGAGTACATTTGCGTATTTACTTCCCACCACCGGCTGATGCCTACAGTATTAGCGGTACCACTTTCTAATAAGGCATCCTATAAAAAGGGTTTGTATGCTGTAACAAATTAATAATTAGCTAAAGACTAATGTTTACTATATGATTTACTTACTAGAATAATGATTTAAAACTAAAATAAAAATAAAATCCATGAACAAGTAAAACAGGTTTCCAGATTGTGGAAATCCTCCTCCAGCATTTCACTTGCTTTGTCTTTTTTTTAATCAAGCTCTTTCATTCATAAGGAAGAACCCTATAATGAAGGCTAAGACCACTTACCTCTTGGAAAAAGACTGCAGACCACCTTGACCAGACTCCATCCAATCTGTGACAATTTATCAACTTTAACAACTGCAGATTTGATGGCTTATTACTAAGTGAGCTGCTTGTATTTAATAATGATTTACGAAGTTTTATAATTGTCATGTTATTACCAAATGTTTATTACAGTCTTTATTCAACAACAGAATAGGAACTTCTTTATTTAAAATATACTACCACTGTTATTCTCTTTACATTTCAGTGTTTCCAGTTTTGAATGCAAATCAACAGCTAAACAAACTCCACACATAAATCAAATTATTGCCCTTTTCCCTTAAATGAATTTGACACCTTGAGTGTGTCTTGTAAAATCAAAATAAAATCAGGTAAGTATTAATCGAATTTACAATTTACTTTTATTTTTACCATGCATTTCCTAAGCTTATTACTAATCCACTGGCTAAAGCTAAAGCTAAGCACATGGCAGACAATCTAGCTATCAAAAAAAACAACAAAACCTCATCACATGCGAATATAATCTATAAGATATTCTTGTGAAAAATTATATTTTACATACACAGCCTTTGATTTCTAATGGCTTCAATAAAAGGACAGTAGGAGATTGAAAATGGCGCAGCGGTGTTCCCACCGCCATTTTCAGTCTGCTGAGAAGAAGTAGGGAAACAATTTCCTGTTTCCTGTCAACTACATATTCATAAAATTTTAAGAAAATAATTGTGAACAGAGCATAGTTAGAAGAAGAAGATATACTTTATTAATCCATGGACAGATCCATCCTACAGTTGTTCCATTATGGCAATTGATTGCTAGCAAATTTGGTGCAGATATTCCTGTTCCTTCAGGATGAATTGTAATTAATCTGGGGATCACTTTTCATCATCTAGCACCATCATTATGTCCACATTTCACTTTGTCCAATACTTTGTTTGATGACTAAAGACCTGCAAAACTAATGATAGTCGCCTCAGCCTCAGCTGTGTTTATTGCTATAGCCTACTGTATATCAAATGTTAGCATTTGCTAACAAGCTAAATGAAACATTGTGATAGTGAGTATATTAGCATGCTGACATTAGCATTGAGCTCAAAGCACCATTGTGCCAGAGTGCAGCCTCAGAGAGCTACAAGCTGTAGACTTTAAGTCTTGATCTACAATGGGTCATAGGATACACGAAGAAAACTTAGACCATTTGTAATTGCCACATTTTCCTGGCCTCTCATGAACACATCATCTTTATTAAAGATTTTCTCTCAATGAAAGGTAATCAGACACTGCTGCACTGGGGGCCAACAACCGGGCTGGAGAGGATGATGATGGGTGTCTCACTTGCCAGCAATGAATATGGGACTGGGCACGAGTCCCAGCTCAGGCTCTGTGGCGCCTGTTTGACGGCTCTGAACGGGACTCCTGCGGTTCCCGGAAGGATTGTCTCTGAGAGGAAGCTGAAGGTACGATGGATGGGGAGAGGGGGGTTGTCCCTCAGTACGATCTCCCTAGTGGCTTGTACTGGCAGCAGGTGCAGAGCTGCAGCAGGCCAACATCTGGGCAGAGCCTCTGGCAGCCCTCTCCATATTTAGCCTCTTGCTTTGGATACGGAGATTAGGAACTCATGCCCATGAAGAGAGGGATGAAGCGGAAGTTATCCAGCAGGATCGCGTGGAATGGCATGATAGGAATCATTTCCTCCTGAGGCAGAGATGGCAGTTTTACTCGACAGCCATTTGTTATTCAGTTACTGATTCCACATTGCTGCCTTCCTCTGACTGGATCAAACCAGATTCATGCAAATTTGTTGTATTCAAGTTGTAGGAAAGTTGAATGAAAGACCCTTGCTGTTACACAAAGATGACGGGACTAGGCTACATTTCTGCCTCAGCAACTGACTTCTTCTCTAAAGTTTAAGACGAATTACTGATGAAGGCATCAATAATCCCTAAGAACAGCGTGTGTTTTAAAATGCAACGCTATGTAATTGTGATCTTGTGTAACTTGGCTACATATTTCTCCTGAGTTCTGCGTGATTAGTCTTGGTTGGCTGGAAGCGTGCTGCGCTCACAAAGACAAAAGCAGTCTATAAATGCAAGATTGCACGTATCTGTTGGTTTTGGATCCTGTGCTCTTTATGTACAGTCACAGCTGGAGTAAATGCTTCTTGTACAAAAAAACAACTTGAAAAATATGCTGATTGGCCTTTCCAAGGGCCCCAAACATACTCCAGTGACAGATGATACTGATTTATTTTAATGGTCCTCCAAATCCCATTATCCACGTAGCCCTGCGGTTGCAATGAATGTGGGCTATGAAGCAGTTTCCCTTTCCTGCAATGTGGGCAATTTGAGAGTTGATTCACTGCTGCTGGGGGCCCTTCTGCCTCGAAGCTCCGTGGCCCCGCAGCGGGCACCTGCTCTGAAATTCATCGCAACAACTCCAAATACTGATCTCACTGGCTCGATACACATCTACAAGTCCCACCCTAAAATCACAATGATGTCAGCTGCCTGTAGCAACATGGGGGTCTAGTTGGAAAATGATCAAATGCATTAATCAACTGAGCTCCAAATGATCTTATCCGGACAACGCCTGCTCATCCATGAGTAGAAAAGAACAATTACACATTTGATTTATAGCTTCAAGGGATAATAGTGGGGTTTATAGTTTATGTTAATGTCTTGTTTCCTTGGCCCAGAGTTACTTGTCTGAGGCCCTAGTGTTTTTCACTTGCCAGTGTAAGTGACCCACAGTTTCTCTGTGCAGCTAAACCCCGAGTCCATTCAACCATGCAAAATGTTCGGGGCTGTGAGGTCACTGTGGGAAGTCATCTAACCCCGAAAACAGAAATCTGCCAGACATTTTTTCACCAGCAAACAATCCCAAAAAATGTTCCTGTTTCAAATCAGTTTCGATGAGGACATGTTGGACAGGAATCAGATGAATTGGTTATGGGCATTAGGGTACTTCTCGGACACATGGGGCGAGGGTGAGACAGCTAGAGATATGCTTATTTTTGGAATGCCGAGGGCTTGTGCAGTTTAGCCACAGAGATTAGAAACCCCAATTCTCAGAATAGTGTTTGCAAAAAGAAATATGGCGCAATTTTTCTCACTTTCTGGGATATAAATATCTCTTAAAGACAAAATGTGAACAGTAAATCTGTCTGAATTATATCAGTTATTTGCTGTTCATTCTAATACTTTCGAGTATTTCTGAATTTTATCTGGCGTGTTAAAACTTGGTGCACCAATTAAAAAACTTCAATCATATGAACAAACACGTCAAAAAAGGATGTGCATTAGATGATCTGTTTTGGTGGTAAACCACATTCCTGGTTACAGTATTAGCTTGGAGATTTGGGCCATCTGTCCCTGTTTCTGATGTTATCAGTTACCCACCGGTATAAAGAGATCTGCAAGGGGATGACTGTCAGATCAGTGTATGAATGCAGGTTCTTATCTCATCCCCTTCTCTAACAACTTTGAACTCAAGGTGAACAATCTCTTTCCTTCCAGCTCCGCCCTCAAAAAGAGACAACTAAAAGGTGGCATGAGAATTTGTACATCTAAAAGTAAAGACACTCATTGTGCGGGCTGGCTGGCAAGTTCCCACAGCAGATAGTTTCACCCACTTACAATATTCCTGTAATGTTGTCTCTTTTTTCACTGAACCATGAGGTGGACAAGACAAAGGTGAGGTGTACGTGTGAGAACAGTGGTCCTTTGTTGCACAAAATGATTTGTTTTGACACCAAGACAACTGAGACACAGCTTAACGGAGCCCTGGCTGCTGCACGTCGCGTGCATCAAGTGTGATTCATCTTGTTTTTGCGATTACTGGAACAATGAGGTCATATTGTACAACACATACAGACCTGTCATACAAACAGGCAGGTAACTAGGGATGCACCACTCCAGCTTTCTCTCTCCCATACTGATTCCGATCCCTCAACTCAGTATTCACCAATACGAGTACCAATCTGTTATCAGTGCTTCTTTTTCTTTAATTTAAATCTGTACACCTCACTGTGTGGAACTCACTTTTAAGTAAAGTAACATGAGGCCAGGGAGGGCCCACTGTGACCCACTGTGACTGAATGAAGGTAACTGATAACGGAAATGCTGAATTTTATGACACTGACATAGAAACTATATTTACTGTGGATCTGTCATGTTGTGGCTGATACCTGATCTGCTTAATCAGGTCAGTAACGACATCGACACCCATCTGGCAAATCAGACCAGTTCATCACTACAGATAAAAATATGGCATGAACTATCAACTATCCTTACTTACATGAAAAGGCTGGATTTTTTTTATTATTGTCGACAAATCCTATGAAAAGACCAAAACCAACAATAGCCAACAAAACACCCTAAAAACATCAATTTCCAGCTGCTTCAGAAAATAATTTAGCCTTTTTTATTTTAAGTGAAACATGTATTTGTGACCGGTTTATGTAAGATTTATGTCCTCAGTAGGAACAAATGGTTTGAGGTTGAGTATAACTTATGGGTTTATGCTTTAAGTGTGAAAAATTCAAGAACCTTCGCATCATCTGGACAACATGGCTCTTTTCAAGAACACCTCACACTGGTGAGTACGCTCCATAGTTAAAAGGCTGAAGCCACCATCATGACCCAGTGGTGGAGACACATCAAGGCTCCTTCTACATCTTTAAAATGCTGCTGTCCAAGCAGTGTTTTCTTGCACTTGAACAAAGGAAAGTGTGTTTGTCTGTGTTTTTGAGTTTAGCTATTGGAAGCTGCCATGTGTGCCTGTAGCACACTGAGAATGCTGTTCATATGGTGACACCTGGTGGACACTGTTTGCCATGATTAAAAGGTAGAGGAGTCAAGGTGGCAGCAAGATCTACACCTTTAATAAAGGAAAGAAAGTTGCTTTATTTGTCAATAGCTTCTTCTCTGACCCTCTGAAAACAGCCGTCCACATTCATAAATAATAGATGGTGTTTCATTTTTTTAGCATCTAAGCTATGACTGTAACAGATGCAGTTTACTTCAGCCAATAAACTGCTGGAAGTCAGTAAAAGGCTACATTAACATTTACATGTTTACGTCAAAAACATTTAAAAAATCTGCAGAGTAGTTCAATTAAACGCATGTGAAATCAGAAAGGATCGAAATTACAAAATAAAAAATTAAAATTTTTCATAGTCATTGTAACTCAAGGTCCACTTACGTGCTTTTTTTCCAAGCACTTTCAACTGCACCTCATGGTCAATGAGGGAATGAAGTTTGCTTGGTTGTCACAGAGATGGTTCAGATGTCATCGCCATGACCCATCGTCTCCATCTCCATGTCAACTGAGCAAAGACAACGAGAACCTTCAGGATTAAATTAGTAAACAGACCTTGACTCAAGATTATTTTGTCAAACTACTTGTTCCAACGTTAAATGCATGAATATGAATGAACGCAATAAAATGCAGTTAATTTTGCTATAAAAGGCAGTTAATCCTTGGCGGCTGTCATGTGAGTTCCTGCTATCAAACCACAAATGTGACGGTTTAGGCTCTAAAGTTAATAAAAGTTTGAGTCTTCCTCATCATTGCGTGATCCACCTCTCATGGCGAGAGTTCACTGAGCCTGAGCCCCCTGGTTCTTCCTCTCCTGCCATGTCTTCTTCCTCAGCTCCAGCTCAGCATCGGTGAATGAAGCCGGACCCCAGTTAGTGATCCGCTGAGGTCCTTTATGACCTAAAGACCAGGGTAAAAGATTTTAACAAGATTTACAGGCAAATCATTTATAATGCATTTCGTTGTACTTAATGTGTGCAGTGACAGTAAAGTTGAATCCAATTAAGCAAATGATAAACTCTTCAGAAAGCATGCTGGCATTGCATTTGTCTAAAATATCATTGAGATTTCACCGAATTTAAACTAAGAGGCCATAAACACGTGTCCACATTCTTTCGGCCATTTATTGTCCTTTCTGCAACTCTCAGTATTAATAAGTTTAAACGACCTTAATTCATTACAATGTCAAAATATTGTTAAAACACATCAGTTCTTAGATGCTGATCAAATACTGATGAAATATTTATGAATTAACCAGCAATTGCTAATGAACAATAATAAGTTTCCCTACCTGGCTGGATGAGACGCACCAGACCCTCATGCTTGGCCACCTTGTCCTTCCAAGTCTTTGTCTTGTTTGCTGCTCGCTCAAGCTTCCTCGACACCTCCTATATAAGATAAAGTGGAAGTGACAGAAAAGAGAACAGGGAATCAGATCATATAAACTTTAATTAGACCTCAGCTGAGAGGAGAGAAATGGGCAGCACATTTGGAGACAGTGGAAACAGTTCAGCCAGCAGGTAGAGCAGCTGCTGATGTGATTTCCTCTATTGTTGATGAGTCATGATTATGACAGTTTAAGGTTTTGGGCATCCCAATATTTTTGGCACCAGCGAGTCGGCATCGCTGAGTATAGATATCTGTCAAGTATTCTGTTTTTTCAATGATTTAAATAAAAAAGTTTGATAGTTTTATATTATTTAGGCAAAGTTTCTGCACTGTCCTTTTACTCTCTGGACAAAATTTAACATTTGAGAACTTTGGCTTGTTTTCTAAAAAAAAAAAACTACAACAAAAAAAACATGTTTCTGTTTCTTCAAAGTAAGATATAAAAAAAAAAAGTATCCCGTACTCTGATATTGACAAAAGTATTGAAGACTTTCAACTTTTTCCTCCTCACCACGAACTGACTGTGGCTCTGCTGATGCAAGCCTATTCTATTGCTCCACATACTGAACATCATTCATTAGAATCAATAAAATGCCACAAATGTGAAACATAATACAGACATATTTGTGTGCAGTTTTACTACCAGATACAAGAACAGGGGCTTCTGCTCATGCAAAAATATAAATAAAAATATGTCTAATGCCAAGGGACAATTTCCAGGCTGATAGATTCCTGGATAGATTTTTCAGATCAGTGTAAACCTCCACATGTATGACCTGACCTCGTACTGCTCCAGTGCACCGTGCCGCTCCCTCTCCAGTCTATCCAGCTGCAGCATGGCTGCCTGCAGGTCTCTCTCCTTGGCCAGCTGCTCGGCCGCCAGCTCCTGCTTCTCGGCCTCAGTCTGAAACAACACCCTTTGCTGCTGCAGGTGGATCTGCTCCAGCTCTGCCCTCTTTGCTGCCTCCTCCTCCAGCAGCCTGTGATGGAAAATACAGCAATGATGCTTAAAGTGTCTTTACATCTATATTCACCACGTGAATCCTATTGCTGCTGACTTATAATCACTGTCGTGGAATTTGTTGTGCCCTGCGATGGATTGGCGACCTGTCCAGGGTGTACCCCACCTTTCACCCAATGTAAGCTGGGATTGGCTCCAGCCCCCCGCGACCCTTTATGCAGGATATGCAGTTGACGATGGATGGATGGATGGAATTTGTTGTCCCAGCACTGTTTTCACAGTTTCAGTTTCACAGTTGGTTCCTGTAAAGGTCTCAAAGGCCATCCGCTTTATTCAGCCTTTACTGGAAGTGTGTTTAGCTCACTGCATAGCTGTTTACCTAGTAAACCACTCTCAGTCTACAAAAGCTACATTTTCTCAGAATTAAAAACTACATACCCGCAGATGTATTTTTGTTGTTACACGCATAGTGAGGGCAGAAGACTCACAATATAACTACTAACTACAGCCCCAATAATGAGATTCACCAACAGCTCTCTAACAGTGTCAAAAAGTAAAAAAAGCACACAGCGTGTGTGTGTGTGTGTGTGTGTGAGTATGTATGTCTCTGAGACCTGGCCTGCAGCTTGCGCATGGCCTCCTCATCCTGCTTGGCCTGCCTCTCGTCCTCTAAGGCCTCCTCCAGCCGGTGGTACATGTCTTCCAGCTCCCGGACGCGCTGCAGGTACTGCTCCAGTTCACTGGACTTCTGAGCCACCTGCTCCTCCATCTGCTGACGCACCTGAATGAACGCACACACACACTGTTGCACATTCTTACACACTAGGCCCTAATAATAATATACGAATTAACTGTAAATCTTGATTTAATACTGCATTGTGACATTTACTATATTTAAGCTATAGCTCACAACAGGCTGTGGTATAGGCTTATTATATCACAGTTAAGGGGGTTGCCGGCCCAACGCGAAGCAAAAACTAGTGTCACCAGGCTGCCGGTAGGCTGCATGGCATACATCTGGGGCAAGTAGCGGACTGCTGTGTGTGTGTGTTTGTGCGTTTTCATGTGTGTGAGAGAGGGAAATGTTGAATCTCGTAATAAGCAATGATTCTCTCTCTCTCTCTCTCTCTCTTCAGATTATAACTCAAACCCTGTTCGTCGTGGAGTGATACGGATCTGTGCAAAGGAATTCGACGTCATACCTGTTTTATACGCCCATTATATCACTACTATGAACCAATCAGATTGCTTGATTTGAGCTACATGTTTTTATAATTTAGCTTAATCTAGATCCGCTTATGTGTTGCTGCAATTATGCAATCTCTCTTGAGCAAACAATAAAGTTGTTCTTATCTTACAAAGCAATTTGTCTGTTCAGTCACTGAAGTAAGACGATGATTAATAAGTCGGTGCATCTGACACTCAGACAAAAGATGACTCAACATCATGGGATTTATCAATTTAACTTTTTTTAGCTTGTGTTTTCTGGAAGAAAGGAGTCACAGACGGGTGATGCTGACCTAATCAGAAAAAGAAAAAAAAGACAGAATGGAGGTTTACCAGACTTTTTAGTTTTCTTTCTGAGCTTCTGACAAGACCATGTGTGACACTTATCAGTCCACATGCTTAGGAGAAAGGGGCAGAGTTGTGAGCGGCAGACTCAGACACAGTGGTTACCATTTTCTCTCTCTCCAGGTCCAGTCTGTAGCGATCCTGCAGGTCTGACTGAGTCTTTTTCCTCCTGTGCTCCTCTGTTGCTGCTATAGCCGCAGCCTCTTCCATTTTCTGTGAAGCACAAAAGAGGAAGGAGCTGTTACTGCTTTACTGGAGACCGCATCAGGCTACAAGGTGAAACCCTTTGGGGACACACAGGACTTAATAAATAACCTTAAGGAGAAATCTGTGGTTGGTTCAGTATGTATCTATAGGTCTAACAACTGAGAAACTCTTTGTAGTCTGTGTTACATTTTATTTAGTAACACCAGTAAACAATCCATGTATTCAAAAATGTAAAGATAAATTAGTTTTTGACATTTGAAAAAGGCCATCTGGCAGGGTAAAAAGAGAAGTGAGAAGCCATCAATTGTCTGCCGCAGCTCTAAAACAATTGAGTTCATGCGCCTGGCCCCCCACTAGACGCAGGTGTCCCTTACTGATATATACAATCATTTGCATAGCAGGTTTTGCTTCCCTTTTCACTGCAAGTGTTCTGCTATATGATGTGGGTTTTTGTTTTTAATCAATTTGTCATTTAGATTATGTTAATAAAGAATATGTGAAAATAAAGGGAAGTGAACAATAACTCTGTCCTCTGGTAATGGAGTTAAACCAACCATCTGTTTCATTAGATCAGTGTTTTGGAACATATTGTCCCCTCTAGGATTAACATCCTGAAGACGGCGAGATGGGCCGAAATTAAAATACAATAGAAAATAAAAAAGTTTGTGAGAATCTGCTGCATGTCTTCTAGATCCAAGATTTACAGAGTTACCTAGGCTAACACACAACAGCACCACATTTGTGCCTACAATAAAGCACATCTTTTATTCATATTTAGCTTTGTTTAATGCATTTCATCATGCAGTTTCTCGCAACAACCTACAGGGGTTTGATAAAATAACATCCTGTGTATAGTAAAAAGCCGCCCTGCAATAAGTGTTCCATCTACATCTTATTATGTTCATATTTTAAGACTGCGTTAGAGAGGTTGTGATTCATCTTTGTGTGCTCTATATATATTTCCTATTGCATTCTTATGTATTTACAAGATATCTTTTTTTTTTTTTCCCAAAATAGGAAGTTTGGGCCACCGAACGTGTCCTCTGTGCTACTTTTAAATGATGAAAAAGATTATAGAGAATCAGGTATACAGTAGGAAAGAGATTCCTATAGTAGAGATAAGACTGTTTACTATGATACAAATAGATAGTAGTAAACCAGACTACATGAGTCAAAAGTGTTCACTAAAGGCAACATGACATGACAAGGACTGTGTATGACAATATAAGTTGTGCCAATGGTTACTGGACCCGACAAGGTGTGATAGCCTCCTTCTCAAAGTCCTTTTTGAGAGTTGAGCACGAAACAGTACCTTCCTCATAGCCTCCAGCTGTCTCTGTTTATTCTCATTGGCCGTCTGGAGCTGCTTCATCCTCTCTGCCAGGTCGTCGTCGTCCGCCTGCTGCCTCTGGCGGAGCTCCCTGCGCCTCAGCCGGGCCTCGCGGTGAGGAGACGGCAGCCCCAACCTCAGCAGCTGGATGCACGTTTGAATAGCTGCCACGAGACGGAGCAAGAGGGCGGCCCATTGATTTACCGCCACAACAATCTGACTATAGATGCACTGTTGAGTCAGTAACTATGATAATTACAAACATTCAAGTGACAAAGACAAAGTAGGCAGTTACAGAGTAGTGGAAAAAAAGACTCCTCAATACCTTGAATCCATTCCTGCCTTTTCTTTTTATCTGACGCACTGATTTCAAAACTTCTATCAGTGCACTTAATAATAAACAGGCATTTCTTCCCTTCTTTATCTGGCAGAGACTGCAGGAGAGAAAAATATGTCATGACACACTCAGCTACATCATAGAAAATCTACAAAACCGTGTCAGTTCACTTCAAATGATTTAGTCAACACAGCCTGACAATTTAACATCCTAACAAAAAAGTAACCTCCACACAGCAGTTTCGGTCCAGAATGATGTCTCCTTTCTTCTCCACAAGATCCTCACAGACGTAGTATGACAGTGATTTGGGTCGAAGGACAAACCAGCGCTCGGTCCAGTTCTTCCTTTTGTGGCCCTTTTTCATCATGTATCCCTTCAAAACACCGTGTGGAGGTAAACAAAGACACTTGAGTCACGTGATTATTCTGTTATAATAACGTTGATATATTAAAGAGGTGGTATAACGCTCATTTTCAGGTTCATCATTTTATTTAGGGTTTGTACCAGAACAGGTTTACATGGTTTTCATTTCCAAAAACACCATAGTTTTGTCATACTGCACATTGCTGCAGCTCATATTTTCACCGTGTGTGTTGAACGCTCGGTTTTAGTTATGGAGTGATTCATCTTGCCTCTACATGATCTTTGTTGGGAGTTGCACATGCGCAGTTCTTAGTTAAGGACTACTAGGCAATCAGAAGTAGAGAAGGGCAGCTCAAAGAAGCCAGTAAACACGGCTTCGTTCAGCTGTATATGTTCTCCTTACCAGCTTAGCAACATGGCCAGCAGCAAGAGTTTCAGAGAGTTATTAATCTGTAACACATGTATCTGTCATCCATAACTTTATAACTGAGCTCTGTCTCTACATCACAATAACAACTTTATGTCCATTGACTGCCTGGAGGGTAGCTAGTGTTTGGAAGGGAGAGGAGAGGCAGCAGGCGGACGTCGTGTCACTGTGTGCTGCAGCTCAGTGTGTTTTTCCACCGGTGTTTTTGAGGGCATGTCGGACTAGCCGCTAGGCGAGCGTTATGACGTGTGTTTTCTTGTGATGTCACAAGAAAGCGGAATAAAAGGCTGGACTACAAATGGACTACAAATGAGCTGTTTTCAGGCAGTTCAGAGCAGTGTTTTCTGTGGGAGATGGGAACTCCCTTTGGGCTGGACTTTGGGCTTTTTCACTTTGCAAACCTATTACATGCAAAAAAAGGCATATAACTCAATAAAGCAGAGGGGAAAAGCCAAAAAGCACAATGCCACCTCTTGAAACATTATAAGTTATACTACTTGGATAGTCTATAAAACAAATGGTATGACATACCGCAAACGTAATATACAGTATATTAACTAGTATATTGAAGAAATAGAAGCGAGCAGTTTCAGTAAAATGCATTTTCTTATTAAAAATATGCATATGTATTGTGACTGTATCTATATTATCATTAATCATATGAATATGCAAATTATCCTAAACCAGATCAGCTATTGTTATGTATTGGTTGTAGTATATACATTATGTCTATTGTTGTAATAATTGTGCTTCTGTCAAACCATAAATTATATACTATTATTATACATTCCATAATAATGGAAGTCTAAAAAAGAATATATGTATATCTGTGTATATATCTGTATTATTGATGCACTAATCCTGCTTATAATCACATTTAGTTTAACTGATACAGATCTGATACTTAGTATATAATAATATGATATAGTTATATTTGC